TGATAGAAAGAACCAAAAAAGCCGGGAGCTGGTGGCTCATGCCGTAATACTAGCTACTCAAGAGGCTGAGATCTGAGGATCTCGGTTCAAAGCCAGTTCAGGCAGAAAAGTCCCTGGAACTCTTATCTACAAATAACCACCAGAAAACCAGAAGTGGTGCCGTGGCTCAACTGGTAGAGCACTCACCTTGAGCTGAAGAGCTCAGGGACAGCACCCAGGCCCAGAATTCAAGCCCCACGACCAATGGGAAGGGGGGGGGGGGAGAGAGAGGAGAGAAAGAATCTATAAATGTATAAGTAAACACATTAGGTGATACTCAAGTGGCTACCTAACCAAAGACTAATAGAGTCTATGAAAAATCTCAAATAGTATAATCTTTTAGACTAGGTCAAAGCCCAACAAAATCAGCATCAGGAAATGGATACATGCAAGAGGGGGGATTGGGACTAAGGGGAAAAGAGTAAAGAAGGAAGAAAGAGGAGAATGTAGTCAAGAATTCATTGTGGGCTGGGAATGTGGCTTAATGGTAGAGTCCTTGCCTAGCAAGCATGAAGAAGCCCTGGGTTTGATTCCTCAGTACCACTAAACAGAAAAAGCCGGAAGTGGTGCTGTGGCTCAAGTGTAGAGTGCTAGCCTTGAGCACAGAGGCTCAGGAACAATGTCCAGGCAGAATTCAAGCCTCAAGACTGGCCAAAAAAAAAAAAAAAAAAAAGATTGCAACATACCAAAAAAATTAAGAAAAGGGAAGAACGAGTTATGTTGAAGGGAGTGACTCTTGATCAAAATGCATTGTATTCATAAACTGCTTTGTTAAAAGGCACCAACTTTGTCAAACTAAATTAAAAAAAGCAAAAGAAAAAATACCTGCTGTATGTGGTAGTACCAGAGACCCACACTGTAAGAGCTGACCCTGTATGACTATAACTTCAGTTCTAGTGCTCTTGATTCCCAGCTTAGCAACTCTCCAAATTTGCATTATGAGGGACTCTCTAAAAGCAAAATATGGGCTGGGAAGTTGGCTCAGGAGTTGAGCGCTTGCCTTGCATGCTCGAGGCCCTGGGTTCGATTCCTTAGCACCACATAAGCAAAAAGAAAAAAGCCAGAAGTGGCGCTGTGGCTCAAGTGGTAGAGTGCTAGCCTTGAGCTGAAGAGCTGAGGGACAGTGCCCAGGCCCAGAGTTCAGGCCCCACGACCGGACCAAAAAAAAAAAAAAAAAAATAATAATAATAATAAAAAAAAAATAAAAGCAAAACATTCCCATTTAATTCCTGTTTACTCTCCTCGTGAAGGACTAGGAAAGGTTTTTCTTTAATCCATTATATGCAAGTATGACATAGCATAAATGGCAAAAAAAAAAAAAATTTCAAGAGTCATACTAACAAAATGGGACACATCTGGATGAAAGAACAGACAGACAAGAAATGATTTTGTTTGGAGATGAGTCACCAGCTTTGGAGCTTCTTTCAAATAGTTGTCAAAAATGGAGGAATAAAGTGGCACTGTGGCTCAAGTGGTACAGCACTAGCCTTGAGCTGAAGAGCTGAGGGACAGTACCCAGGCCCAGAGTTCAAGCCGCACGACCAAAAACAACAAAAAGGAGGAATAAAAGTAATGCTGCAAAACTGAAACCATTAGCATCTAAGAATCTCCATGTAGTATTTCTCAAGCTGAGTTCAAGTATACTTGAGGGGGAAAAGAAATCTAGTCAAGGAAAGTTTGGGAAATGTTGGGTTAAAACAGCTCTCATTTTTCAAAGTGAGGTCTTAGAAGCAAGCAAGACACAAACCACCCATTTATGAAAAGGTCAGAATTAATAAATACTTCCAGATGCTTGGTAAGAATGGCTCCAACTTGAGGGGCAGCTTAAATTAGAGCTCCGTTCAACCAAAGATGTGTTGCGGTCTACACTACAGCTCAAGTGAAATGTGGACTGACGCACGGATCCAGTCCTCAGTGGTTCCTACTGAAAGTGGCTGATTTGAGTAAGCAAGTCTCCCGTCAGTGATGCCACCCGAACCAACTGAACTTTGTATATCGATTTCTAAATGACAAGGCCCTTCCTATTTTTATAGCTGGTATGTGTGTGTATATATATATACACACATATATACATATGTATGTATGTATGACCAACTTTTTTTTTTGGTCGGTTGCAGGGCTTGAATTCTAGGCCTGGGCACTATCCCTGAGCTCTTCAGCTCAAGGTGAGCACTCTACCTCTTGAGCCACAGTGCCACTTCTGGTTTTCTGGAGGTAAGAGTCTCATGGACTTTCTTGCCTGGGCTGGCTTTGAACTGCAGTCCTTAGATCTCAGCCTCCTGAGTAGCTAGGATTATAGGCATGAGCCACCGGCGCCCAGCTAAGACCAACTTTTAAAATGTTTTTTTGTTTTTTTCTCATACTTCCTAAGCACTAGACATGTGCTAGTTACCTCACTAAGAAAGACTTAAGGAAAGCAAAGGAGAAGCTTGGTTGTACTTTTGTGGTTTAAAGGAGGAGAGGGGAGGGCAGAGGAAAGGAACACTCATCACTTCAGAGGAATTCACTGCTGTCAGAGAATGTGGACATCTCTAAATCTTCCCAATTATCTTTAGCTCACTGTTTACCGCTCTAACACATTCTGGGTGAACAAAAACAGTGAGGTACTTAAAAACCCTAAGTGCTTAGTAAACCATCTTAAGGATCTAGAAAATGAGCCTGTCACTCTGTGGTTATTGTTAATGACTATATTCCATAGTGGTACCACATCTGCTACTAAGTTTGGATAACTTAACGTGGAATTCCTGTTGGAGAGAACCTGAACAATCCTTTGGCTGCACTGGAATACACAGTAAAGAATTTTTACAGAAATGCCCCTTGACTTTTACAGTCAGGTTGAAAATAAACCAGTGAAATTATTTGAAGTTCCAATGGATACAATTTTTAAAGACTAAAATGAAATTAATTAAGCAAAAAATATAATTGTTTCCCTTAACCTGTGTTTTCTATAAATTAGTGTTTAAGGCTTAATGTAATTTCAAGTTTTATTGTATTTTAAACAAAGCTACTACAGAAATGTTGTGAACTACCACTGGAATATATATATGAACTGGTCATCTACTTTCTTGTAACTCTACACAGTCAGCAGGACTTGCAAAGTGCTACTACATTGTTACTTTCTATATTGGTTCTCTAGAATATTTTATAAAGAGAAACTATCTCATTAATAATAGGAATGCCTGAGGTATTGTTCTGACAGAGAAGTATAAGATCTTCTATCAATTTAATTACTACTTTTGAACTTGCATCCTACAAAGGTCACCTTAAATAAATTTTCTAAATTAGAATTATTACAAAAAAAAAAAAAAAAAAACCACCCAAACCAAAAGAAAAAAAGTGCATTCAACACACAGAATCCCAGTTAGTACTTTTGCAGTCCTGTCACTCAGTATCAAATCTTACATAATGCTTTCCTATAAAATCAATCAACTTCATGGAATAGGGTAAGTGTAACAAGACTAGTTAGTGTTCAGACTCCTTTCATACTCAGAGTGAAATGTGTTCCACATACCATAATCTTATCTTGTTCACTAGATCAGCTTAGTTGAACTGTAAGTAGGTTACTGCAGGTATTTAGATACATAAAGAAATCGTAATAAAGCTGGGGTGATGACTAACAACATAAACCCAGCTGCTCAAGAAAGCTAGATTTCATGTTGTATTCCATCCTGGATGAAAGTTAGCAAGATTCTATCTCAAAAAATAAAAAGGAGTGGAGGATAGTTCAAGTGGTACACAGTATGATTGCTTAGCAAATGTCCAATAATATGTGCAGCAATGGACACCTAATCAAGCCCCCCCCCAAAAAAAATCCAAAGCAAAATACACAACCACTATGATGCTTTATCAATTGACTATATCCATGCCAAGAACTGAGATAACAATATTAGCATTATGAAGGTCAATGATTTACTTTAGCCTGATTTATTCCTAGTCAAAAATGCCAGAAACTGGAAAACTTTTTCAGTTTTCCAAAGAGTATATGAGGGAGAGGGATGACTGCCAAGGATGAGCCAAACACTGAGATCTGAGGTCCTCTGCTGTTCTGTTCTTTACCCTCCATTCTTTCTCCCCTGGAAAATGTGCACCACCGTTTTAAGATAAGAAAATTTAAATGGCTTCTCCTGTGGTTAATTTGAATCATATATGCTTATTTTCAACTTCTACAAATAAAGACAGACACAACATTTCCTTCATTTTTTAATAAACCATAAAATTGAAAGATTCAAAGAAAAAAAAGCTAAATTTAAACCAGCACTAATTTCTGGCTTTATTCTTCCTCTAGGACATTGGAAGTTGGACTTACCTGGGATTACAGAAGAATAAAATAATGTTATGATGCTGGTATCACAATGAACAAGTAACATGTGTTCGATAAAATTTACTTTCCAATCTGGAAGTACAGGTCAGTAGCTCACTCAAGTCCACTGCAAGTACCTCACCCGGGTACAGTGAATGGAAAACTTGTATGGCTGCGTTCTCATCATATGTCATCACCACTCCGCACCCCCTGGCATTCTGATCCTCTGGCCTAGTGGTGCTCACTTCAGTCTGTCAAAACATCAAGGGGAAAACCCCCAAACCCAATAGACGAATAAATTCTTTTAATGTGAACAATCATATTCAGACCAACGTCTTTTGCAAAAATACAAGTCAGTGGATTTTTTTTTTCCTTACATAACTCAAAACAGTGCTATTTTTCCCCTTGCCTTTACTAAAATCGCACTTTTTGCTTTGTTTACATCCACTGGTTTTCTTTTATACTTGCACTTTGATTCTTCAGTGATTACCACCCTACATTATTACTCTGTTTGGTTGTGCTTTAGAATTCCCATTCCAGAATATTTGCTCTTTGGCTTTCTTGTTCTGGGAATAAACTTGCTGCTAATCAGTGAAAATCACAAAAGGAAAAAAGAAAGGAAAGCAATCAGAACTAGTAGGATCTCATTTGATCATTCACATAATTTTTTTGTAAGAAAAAACATTCATTTTTATTGTGGAATCTAAAACCATTATTGTATCATAGTATAATTCTTTTAGCATACTCAAATGAGTTGACATTCAATATGGACAGCAGGCTAGCTCACAAGTAATAAACTGTAATGCACAAACACATTTGACTGGGAAAATCCCCACAGCCTGTTAATAAAGTGCAGCAAACTTTCCTTTTAAGAACTCCAGTAATACCTCTGGATATTTTTGGTAAAGGTAAGGAAAAGCTACTGCAGTCAGGACCTAGGTGATGTTTAGGCTTCAAAAACTGGTTGCCAGGGGTCACAGTGAAAGATTAGACAGGGAGCCAATGAAAAACACTACCTCGGAACAAAATGGGCTTTTCCAGAAAATGCAAAATTCTTATACAGATACTTAGTATACTATGATCTGACAAGTTTACACTGATAAAACAGTAAAGACCGTTAACATTATTTATACTTTCAGTGTGTAAAGAACACAGATTTTTAAATCAACAGCAGTAAGTTTGATGACAGCTCCTGAGACAAGTTGCCCTCTGCCCTCTATCCACCCATGCCAAAGATGGTAACACACAGAATAGAAAGTGATTTACTGCATGGGATTCAGAAAGCACTTGAAAAGTGGTAAAATTCTATGTTACTGAATGACAAAACAAATTTAGAGGCTTTATTTAAAAATCTCTTACTGTTCATTATCAAAGTTACAAGATTGTTTGCATACCAAGACAGACTGTAAACATAGGAAATTTTCATTAAGGAAAGATGGGTTTACTGTAATTTTATCTTTTACAAAAAATTACTATAAGGTATTGACAACCAAATTTCTCTTTTACTTTAAGTCTAATTCTCTTGGAAATTCAACCAATGTTTCCACTCTCTTGATCTAAAATTCAACCATGGTCATTTCAGGAAATACCCAGTTAATTTGTTAATCAGAAACAAACTGAGTGGCATGTATTTCCATTTTCATCTTAGGCCGAAGGCCTCAACTTCATTATACTGTACAAGAAGACAGAAGACGGCAGTGGTCCTGTGGTGTCTGTCTTCCACACTGTAGCTGGGGTTAATGACACAGTGGAAGAGGCAGCAGTGATGCAAAGCAAGGCCAGCCCAGTCGCTTATCTCACAGGGAGTCTTCTTCTTGCTTGGCTGGCAGCAGCCAAGTGTTGTTAGGCTGCCTCTATCCAAACTTGATTTTGCAGCAAAGGGTGACATGCTCTGGTAAATCCTGGGTCAGGGAGATTCCATTCAGGCCAGGAGTTGTTCCTTCAATCTGTTGGCTGAGGGATGATGCTAATATGAAGAAAATTATCTGGGTAGCTCAGATGTTCACTGAGCCACTGCAAAGGTGTTTCCAACATTGGTTCAATTCCGTGAATCATGACTTGATTCTTCTTTTCCCCATCTATTCCAAGAAAGAAACCCCCAACAATAATCAATAGAAGTCAAAACTTTGAAGAAAAAATAGTAATCTTTTGCCTTTTGACAATCCTTCATGATTTTAAAGCTGTTTTGTCCTCTGAACAGGAAAAGCAGGCCTGGAGAAAGTTTAAATGTTGCAATATGTATCACACAAAACAGAAACCTGAGGCTTACAATGAATTCTGATAAAAAAATTCAGTTGCTATATGTGAAAGTATTTGTTCTTTCCTAATTACTGTGCTTACTGTGCTTACCAAAGACTGACGTTAATGAAACTATAGTGGCGAAAACAGCCCAGTAAACCCACGGACAAAAATTCTTTAGTTCTACAGTAAAAGCAGGTGGCCACTAGAAATGACAGGAACATGAAAAATAATGTCCCTAGTTTTAAAATGCACAACAGAAAAGTGACTAGAATTGTTAAGAACTGGGTCAGTATTTGACAAACTGGATGGGCACTTAGGCTTGTTCTCTGTAATCTCTCCAAGCCTATCTCTAAAAGTGCTGACTGCTGTTTAAAAGACTAGTACAAATCACCTATAAATAAAAGAGTAAACTATGTACAGAATACCATAAATCACGTATAAACAAAAGATTAAACTATAACATGCAGAATACTATAAGTGTTGGTATCAAAATGGATAAACCCTGAGTCTTTGTAAATTCTTGATTGCCAAGGTTTTACTATATTTTTCTTGGAATATCAGAAACCATTTCACTATATAGTTCTCTTTGCATTCTTATTACACATTTCTTTGAACTCTTAATATTCTCAGAATCTTGTTCCTACTTAGCACTGAGTCAAAAAATGAATGTATAGTGCTGTAAGAGTTTCTGTGTGTGAATGTCAGAGCACCTCTGCATCCTCTGAAACGGAAATAAATGTTATAACTCATTACCCCAAACACTATTCCCAAAGCAAATGAACACGTGTGGCATAGTTCAATGATACAGTGTGTTTGCAAGACAAAAGACCAATCCTAATTCAAGAAAGGGACAGTGGAGTTCCAGCTGCATAAAAGTTGGACAACATAAGCATTATTCACACACTGTGGCAAGTCTGTTAGATTATGGTTTGAGAGCCCTGAATAGGGAGCACTGATTCTCTGGCTGGATGTTGGGACTACTTTTTAAATCTTTACCATGGAGTTGGAGGCATGGCTCAGGTGATACGGCACTTGCTAATGAGCATAACGTATCAGATACCAAGTTCCAGCACCAGTTTCCACATTTACTAGATGTCTACTAAGAAGTGGATATATCACTGCAGTATCCCAACAGAACAGTTCTAAGGTGTAAAATTACCTTTTCACAGCCTACACTTATTCTGCATTTATTTTTATTTGTTTTCTGACTTTACAAAACAACATAATTGTGAACAGAGGGATTCTTAGAATGGGACTGCATTTTTAATGGAATTGTATCTAAAGTCTTGTTCTTACTCATTGTACCCCTACTGACTAGCATGGTACCTGACATGTGTAATCACTCACAGTATAAGCATCTAATCCAGGGCAAACACTTTGCCACCAAACTATACATTCATCCCTTCCCCATTTGTGTCTTTCAAAATGTTAACCTGTGAAGATCTTTTTAAAATTAGGCAAACTAGCCAGGTGCTGGTGGCTCATGCCTTTAATCCTACCTACTCAGAGCGCTGAGATCTGAGTATTGAGGCTCAAAGCCAGCCCAGGCAGAAATGTCTCCGTGAGACTCTTATTCCAATTAACCACTCAAAAACCAGAATCAGTGGTAGAGTGCTAGCTTTGAGCACAAAGCAACTCAGGAACAACACTCAGGCTGTAAGTTCAAGCCCAACAATTGAGAAAAATAAATAAAATAAAATTAGGTAACTTAAGAGAAAAGTCAAATGATGTAGTTCTACATGGTATTTCATTCACACATGTCACTTTTGGGGGATAGCTTTGATTTTTATATAGCTTATTTGTGATGGTGGTGTTGCTGGTACTAGGGCTCAATCAGAGCCTGGGCACTGTCCTTTAGCATTTTTGTTCAAAGCTGGCACCCTACCTCTTGAGCCAGAGCACTTCTTCAATAATTTGATACTTAATTTAGAGATAGGGTCTCAGATTTTCCTGCACAAACTGGCTTTGAACTGTAATCCTCAGCTTCATCATCCTGAGTAGCTAGAATTATAGTGAGCCACCAGTACCTGGATATATATATATATATATATATATATATATATATATATATATATATATATAGAGAGAGAGAGAGAGAGAGAGAGAGAGAGAGAGAGAGAGAGAGAGAGAGAGAAGAGAGAGAGAGAGAGAGAGAGAGAGAGAGAGTGATATCAGTCTCAGAGACAGATGGGATGTAGTGGTATCCTCCACTATACTCAGTTATTGATTGAAAAGAAGTCTCGTGAACTTTTTTGCCTATACTGTCCTTAATCCATGATTCTTATGATTTAAGCCTTCCAAGGAGCTACATCCAACATCCAGCTTACAGTGTGTACTTCCTTTTTCTTTTTTTTAGTGCCAGTCCTGAGGACTGAACTCAGGGCCCTAAACACGATCCATGAACTTTTTTTTTTGGGGGGGGTGGGGGGGGGGGTGGGGGGGGGAGGTTGGTGGTGGGGTCTGAACTTGGCCTGGGTTCTTCAGCTCAAGACCAGCGCTCTACCACTTGAGCCACAGCGCCCACTACCAGCTTCTTCTGTGTATGTGGTGCTGAGGAATCGAACCCAGGGCCTCACACATGCTAGGCAAGCACTCTACCAGTGAGCCACCTTCCCAGCCCCTCCATGAACTTTTTTTGCTCATAAGTAGTGCTCTACCACTTGAGCCACAGCTCCACTTCTAACTTTTGGAGGATTCATTGGAGATAGTCTCACAAACATTCCTGCCCAGGCTAGCTGTGAATCACAATCCTCAGATCTCAGCCTCCTGAGTAGCCAGAATTACAAGTGTGAGCCACCAGCACATGTCTGGGTAATTTCTAAACTGAAATTTATCCCCCACATTTCTTGAGGCCAACTGCTGACACAGGATGTAGGCCTGTGGTCTTCAAATTATGGAAGGTATAAGGGGCAAGACATTGAATTCACTCCTTCAGCCTTGTGTACACCAGCATAGTTACTAATAAAAAATTATAAACTATAAAAACAAATGCCTATATAGGTATATATACAATTACCATGATGACATATAGTAGTATGCTTAAGAACTAAGAGAATTCTTATAATGAATACTGTAGTCAGGTATCATCTCTTTCAGATGATTTCCTTATATATAATAGGAGGTTATCAGTATAGATGCACAATTTACAAATCTAGCTTACAATAAGAGTTATGTGGGAAATTTAGAAAGTCTCCAGGATTTCTGGATCAATCTCTGGAATAGAGTTCTCTAGAGTCAGTCTTAGTACATATACTGGTACTGGTTTTATTCTTTAAAAGTTGCGTTTAGCTATCAAGTATATAGCACAGGAAAAGATAGAGAAGTTTTGGATGATGTTACATGGAGATTGTCTTCCAAGTCTTGCTGGTTGGTTTAGAACCTATGGCTGCTTGACATACTCTGTGAGTCTCATATAAACTTCTGGTGCAAAGGACTACTAGTATTCTTCCAGCTCTGCTATATTGGCCTTTCATGAATAAACAGTAAAATATTTCTTTCAGTCACCTTATTAGTTTTGAATTCTTAGGCAACTCAGTTAACTTCTGATCTCTATTCCTCACCATAGACTGTGGATACAGAATTTAAATTTCCAGGAATACAATGGGGATTAAATGGAGTATCTGATGACACAGGGCTTGGTTTAGTACATATTTTCAATTATGTGACTAAATCTTTTCTCCATCCCTCCCAGGTGTCAAAAACATTACTTAGGAAAACAAATGAGCAAGGAAGGACAAGTTTTTAAAAGGTCACAGCTTAATAACAAAAAGCAAAGGTATGAGAATTCTTTTAGTATTCAATATACCAAAAGATATAAAAAATCATGGATTCAATTACAGGATTGGCAAAGATTAATTAAGGTTGGACAACGTTTACAAAAAAAGAAAATTAAAAAATCAATAACCATAAAAATTAAATATTTGAAAGTACTTTCAAAATAAATGTAGATAAATCATCTGCATAAACTTATTGTAATGTAAAAATTCAGTACAATACACTTCCTAAGTCAAATAAGCACTAGTATATTATGATTCTATTGTTTAAAAGACTAAGCCTTTTTTTGTTGGACCGGGGGCTTGAACTCAGGGTCTGAGTGTTGTCCTTGAGCTCTTTTGCTAAAAGCTAGCAAGCAGTCTACCACTTTGACCAACAGGTCCACTTCTAGTGATTAATAGGAGATAAGGGGGCTGGGAAGGTGGTTCAGTGGTAGACCGCTTGCCTTGCATGCATGAGTCCCTGGGTTCAATTCCTCAGCACCACATAAGCAGAAAAGGCCAGAAGTGGCACTGTGGCTCAAAGTAGTAGAGTGCCAGCCTTGAGCTGAAGAGCTGAGGGACAGCTCCCAGGCCCAGATTTCAGACCCCACGACTGACTCCCCACCCCCCAAAAAAAGGGCAGGGTAGATAAGGGACAATAACAGGCCCTGAGTTCAAGACCCAGGACTTGCACAAATAATAAAAATACTGTAAATAAAAAGGTGAAAATACTGCATAGATCTTTGTCATTTCTTCGAAAGCTTCCCTTCCAGGAACTAGACATTTCCAGTAGTATTCTAGGGGATTTAAAATGCGGGATAAATGTGACCTATTTAGGAACAGATGTCTAATTAGCTATAATATAGGTCATTTATTGCAATGATACTATAAAACTTTTATCTTGTGACTTGTTTTCCTGTTTCTTGCCCTTCAATATTCTGTAAATAAACAGTGGCACCCATGGTAGCATGTGTTTGATTTAAAATGTTTCACATGTTAATTAACTTAATTTTACATGTTTCCTCATTGTAAATAAGCTTGATTCCTAACTAAATGTTCTACCTATTAGCTTCAGTTAACCA